GTGCTAATGTAGCATTTTTTTTCAATTTTTCTGAAAATTTTCGTTTTTTTCCGAGCTTCAAAATTTCCGGAAATTTTACATCTCTACTCTTTTACATCTCTACCTGGTCAGCAAAGTAGTACCTTCTGCCTGTTGTACTCCAGCCTTCACTGCCCACCAGCAACAATGGAGTAGAGGCTCTCTGAATTGGAGAACACTCTCACTGCTCTGAGTCTAGATTTGGGCATTGCTTCCCACAGCTCCAGGTTGACCCTGATGTTTTGCCCTTGCCTGGATGCATGGGGCCTATGCATGGGGCCTGAGACTCAGGATAGGACTGAAAACCAGGGAGACTTGCACAAAGGTATAGTGTGGAACTTAGCAGGTATGAATATGTAACAGACAGATTCCCAAGAAACTACATCTGTGGTGATGTACCCTGATTAATGATTTGGAGTTGGGAGTAAGCAGTGAAGTGGCTAAATTTGCGGATGATACGAAGTTGTTCAGGGTGGTGAACAACAGTGAGGCACTCCGAAGGGATCTGTCAAGGATGGGCGAGTGGGCGTCAACATGGCAAATGGGGTTCAATGTGGCCAAGTGCAAGGTGATGCACATTGGAGCCAAAAATCCTAAATATAAATACACATTGATGGGGTCTGAACTGGCAGAGACTGAGCAAGAGAGAGATCTTGGAGTTGTAGTAGATAACTCACTGAAAATGTCGAGACAGTGTGTGACTGCAATAAAGAAGGCAAATGCTATGCTGGGGATTATTAGGAAGGGTATTGAAAACAGATCAGCCAATATAATAATGCCCCTATATAAATCAATGGTGAGACCTCATTTGGAATACTGTGTGCAATTCTGGTCACCACACCTTAAAAAGGATATTATAGCTTTGGAAAAAGTGCAGAAAAGGGCAACTCGAATGATAAAAGGGTTGGAACACTTTCCCTATGAGGAAAGGTTAAAGCGCTTAGGGCTCTTTAGCTTGGAGAAAAGACGACTGAGGGGTGACATGATCGAGGTTTATAAGATTATGCATGGGAAAGAGCAGGTAAAGAAAGAGGTACTTTTCTCCCTTTCTCACAATACAAGAACTCGTGGGCACTCCATGAAACTGCAGAGCGGTCGGGTTAGAACGGATAAAAGGAAGTACTTCTTCACCCAAAGAGTGATTAACACATGGAATTCACTGCCACAGGAAGTGGTGGGTGCTACAAGCATGGACGGCTTCAAAAGGGAATTAGATAAGCGGACCTCCTGATGGCACCTGGTATTTTTGGCCACTGTGTGACAGAGTGTTGGACTAGATGGGCCTTTGGCCTGATCCAACATTGGCGTCTCTTATGTTCTTATGAATGTTTGTAGTTAATGAATGACACATGATTTGGGTTTTCACAGAACTCGGAATGTTTTGATAAGGGATATCGTAGTATGCGAGCCTGATCTCACCGGAGCTTAGAAGCTAGGCAGGGTAGGCTCTAGTTAATACTTGGATGGGAAGACCACCAAGGAATACCAGGGGCGTAGCGCAGAGGCAGGCAATAGCAAACCACCCCTGAACATCTCTGGCCTTGAGAACCCCATGGAGTCGCCATAAGTCAACTGTGACTCGATGGCCAAAAAAATAATAATCATAACACAAGGCAAGGGAAAAATGGATGGAGAATTTATATCTAGCAGTCATGGGGAAAAAACTGGATAGGACTCAGAAGCTTGGCCTCTTGAGCACAGAAAACTCACACCAATTTCCTCCTTAGGTACGGTTAGCACAGATGAGCTGCTCATTTCAAATGTTTATTACTCAGAAAGCTAAAAATATGACTTTTCTTTAAAAATGTGCTAGAGATTAATTGGAAGCCCGCCTGTACACTGTATACTGCATAGCGCCTACTATGTCCATGCGTAACACAGAACTACCTTTCGGATATTCTTTCCCACTTTGCAAGGAACACGGGAGGAAGGCAGGAAGTACTACAAAAAGCAGCCGTTTGAACATCAAACTTGCAGCAAAGGATCTTACGACCTTCCTATAAATGCTGTCTGTCACATCACAAATGTTACAGGCCCTTTCCTTCAAGCTACTGGATAACCAACAACTAGATTCGAGTCGGGTAGCCCTTTAGATACCAACAATATTTTCATGGTATAAGCTTTTGAAAGTCAAATCTCCCTTCAGCAGACAGAAGACAACCAAAGTAGCTCTTAAAGTGTGTGCCAAAATCATGTTTCAAAGGACAGCAGTGATGAAACTGGAAGCCTGTTAAAGCCTTGCACCGCTACTAGCACATAACTGCATGCGGAACGTGTTAAACTTTCTGAAACTTCTATTAGGAAAGCAGAATGAACAGAGTGAACAATATTTCACACACAGTGAAACTAGGGAAGTGAAGAGCGCAAATAATATAGGCAAGTCTCTAAGCACACGCACACACACACACACACACACACACACAAAACTTGAAAGCACAGGGACCCCCTTGGTATTTGGCATCCAGCCTGTAATACCAGAGACTGAGAAAGCAGCTGGTCTGGAAACCTCCCACTGCACTCTTGTGGAATTCACGGTCGGTCGCTGGCATTATATGCAATTAATTGATCTATTTCTGTGATGAAACCCCACTGAATTTTGTATGTTAGCCTTTCTACACATGCTGTCTTCCAAAGCCTGTTAGGCACCCTGTCTCACAGGCCGTTGTATCCCCCGTATATTCAGGGCTGCTCTACATCCCAGGGTCTTCTTCCTCCTCACATCCAGTGAGCTATTTCCCCCCTACCCCCTTGTATTAAAAGAAAAGATGAAAAGAGCAAGAGGGGGGAAGTAGCCATCCTTTCTCCTTTGATAGATGATCACAATTTGCTTGTTGGCTGCACCGAGCAATGAAATCCTGGAGCCCGGCTGGCTCATATTCACCCTGCAGTTATGAGGAATAATTACAGCAGGTCTGGTGTGCCCACAGAGTAGCGTTACCTTAAAAGAAGGTTATACAAGCCAGAGAAGCTATCCAGTCGGTGCCTCTCTTGCTATGATCGTCACCCCATCCGGACCGTCTCAATTTCTCTGATAAACAAGCAGGCCAAAACGCTTGCACTGCCTTATAACAGGCTGTAGCTTCCCTGAGCATGTTGTCTCCTGCGTGCTGGCTGATTTCTCATTTTTACCAAAATAGGCACATACCAATCCACCTCTTTTATTCCTGTGACAACCCCCCCCCCCCCCTCTCTCTAGCTAGCAGCCGTGCTCTCCTAGGTCTCCCACTGCTGACCTTGTGGTTTATGAGGCCCAAGGGAGAGCAGAGTATGAGTTTCTTCCCTCCTTGCCCGGGTAATCTGAACAGCGGCAGAACAGCAGCTGTTTCTTTCACCCCTTCCTGCTCTTGCTTTTACTTGCCAAAAGGAAGGAACCGATCTATGCAGAGAGCAGCACTGGGGCGACGAGGAATCCAAAGGTCCTCCAAAGAGCAGGTTTGGAATCTGACACCCAATCCACCTGCATTAAAGGCTCCTTCCCAACACCTTCCCATGGCTCCTGATTGGCAGCTGTTTTCTTCAACTCACTTCCCCCCCCCTCATGGGAATCTCTCAGACTCTAGAAAGAAAAGATTTCTTGCTAAGGCTCAGTTCCCGACACCACACATTTGTGAAAGGATCCCCATCAATTCTGATTAGATCTGTACAGCGCATGCCACAGAGTTCTTGACACGTAGATTTCCAAAGCACCTTTTGCCAAAACCAAGACATACTTTCACATAGAAGAAGTAAGCACAGTTCAGTTGCAGGCAACAGTACTGTTAAGGCTGTTAGAACAGCTTGACTCCAGATGTTTGTGCAATACCACATTTAAACCAAAAATGCCAGTGCACCAGGTTCGGGACCTTTCCCTGAAGAAGCTGGACCACATCTCCAATTTTGACGATTCTGAGAGAGCTGGCACATCACCGAAAACTTAGTTGTGACTCAACGTTCTCCCCATACAGTATGAAAACAATGTTGTTTCCAAGAACACTGTAGAGCTGAATTAAAGTTTGTGAAGTGCTGAAAACAGACAATACCTCATGGAATATGAGCACTGGTATAGTCCTGCAAACAGAGGAGATGGCAATCGCTTAGCCTCTGTTCCCTATTTATAAAAAGTGAATGAAAGTGACCCGCCTCATAGGAATGATTTATGACAGTGTTCAGTGATCATGATAATAATGGCAGTGATGCTTATTTCTCTGGGCAGCCGCATGCAAGATTTCCTAATCTACTAGCCTCTTC